CCAGGGTCAGGGCTCAGTGTGTGATCAGGGTCAGGCTCAGTGTGTGTCCAGGGTCAGGGCTCATGTGTGATCAGGGTCAGGGCTCAGGGTGTGATCAGGGACAGGTCTCATTTGTGAACAGAGTCAGGGCTCAGTGTGTGTCTAGGGTCAGGGCTCAGTGTGTGGCCAGTTAAAGGTTCTGCCTGATTTGGGATCTGGGCTGCGAGTAAGGTCAGGGTTTGGACAGGATCCTCATCTTTATGGGTCTGAGAGGTCCCTTTGACGCTGGTGGTCACAGATGTGCACCCTCTTCAAGCCTTCCCTAAGCACAGCATTCCTCCCAGGCCCTTGGGCTCCTCCTGTGTGCACCACGACACGGGCACACGCTGGCACAGACCCCATCTCCTCTCTGGTGCCCAGGGACAAGAATGGCGGAAGGTGAGGCGGGTCAGGGAAAGTGCATTTGGATCCTGCCCCCTCCTGGCCAGCCTCCAGCCGTCCCTCTTAGACTCTGCTGTCCCATTCTGGGACAGAGGTCTGTCACCCTGAGTTCTCTGCTGGACCACAAGCCTCACAGCGCCCCGATACTCAGTGACAGTGCACAGAGGGCAGGCCCAGCTGGGTGAGGCTACACACGGCCACCTCGGCACCCTCCTCTTGTTGCTGACGCCCAGACCTATGATGGCCTAGTCCTCTGGTGCCTGGGGTACAGCCCACCTCCCTCCATAGCTGCAAGAGAAGGAGCAGGCAGAGGCCACACCAATGCCCAGCGCCCCAGAGGCTTGACCGTGGTCCTCTTGCTGCTCACACTCCTGCCCCAAAGCCAGCAGACTCCAGCCACAGGAAGCGAGGCTGAGGTTCCTGGGGAGGATCTGCCCAAAGCTGCCCAGCAGGTCCTCCCTGGCCACCTTGGGTCAGGGTATCTTTTACTCAGATCTGAACTGTCAGAAATGTGGCCACGGCTGTCCTGCAGGCCACTGGTTTCCAGTGCACTAGTGGAAAGCAGGAAGGCTCCGTCCCAGGCGGGCCAGCCTGGAGGGCAGGCAGGTGTCCCGGAGCTGAGCAGGTGGTGGGTGAGCAGCCCTGAGGGAGGGTTCTGGGCTTGGGCAGGGCTTGGGCCAGTGTCAGGGGCAGACAGGAGGGGCCTGCAGCACCAACACCATCTCCACCCCCAAATTGCAAAACTGCACCAAGTCCAAAGGTGGCCGCCTGGGGACGGAAAGCATAGGGGTGTCTTTCTTTATTTTTCCTGATTCCCTCTTTTTCACAGAGAGCTTATGCCACTTGGAAAACCCAAAGGAAGCTGTCTGACAGCAGCCAGGGTTGGTGGCTTCCCAAGCTGTCAGGCGTCACAGCTCGGCTTCCAGATCCACGCAGGAAAGACCAGAGGAGCCGGGGGCAGGCAGGTGAGGCAGCATGCCTGGCCCTGCACACACACCCGGCACAGGGCCTTTGCACAGTTGTTCTGTCACAATGCTGTTCCCAAACGCCCCTCTGCCACAGACCCTTCTGCTTCACTTTTTGGCAGATGGTGTGACTCAACATCTTACTCTGGCCTGTTTACTCCACTGGGCCTCCCCTCTGGGGACAGGAGGAAGCTGAGGGCTGGGACCTCGTAGAGCAGTGACCCAGCAGTGGTCCTGGAGGTCAGAAGGTGGGCAGGTGGGTAGACGACTTCCCATCCCCCATCAGCTTCCATCAGTCCCCAACAGCCCCACCGCGGCCTCCCCTCTGCCGATGCCCATCCTGTCTGCCCTTCCCGGCTCCCCGTGCCCTGCAAACTGCAGGCTGACGCCCTTCCTCTCTCCACCAGCCACTCAGGACTCGCGTGTCCAGCCACAGCATGAAGGACGGCTGCATGTACGGCCAGCCCCTGGGGGTGGGCTGAGCACACTCACACGCTGCCTGGCCTGGGGAAGGGGTGCGAGCAGCGCCAGCCACAGCCCCGGATCGCACCGTCCCCGGCGAACACTGAGTCCTGTGGGCCCAGCGCCAAGCCCTCTGTCCTGCTCCTGAGACCGCGTCTCCAGGTTCTGGGGAGCACTCTTCTGGCCCTGCACACACGTCCTCTGACCCGCCTCCGCCCCTGCCCCCATGAGTGAGGGCCATCTCTGCCCAGCAGCGCCAGGCCTGGCACAACCTCCAACCTCTGCTTCTGCAGAGGCCAAGCTCGGCTGCTGTCTACAGAGTGGTCGACGAGGGTCTGAGCACCAGGCCGTGGCCGTGCCCACACTGCGGGGGACCCCGGGCAACATGGCTTCCCAGCATCTGGCGCCCACCCCCACACCAGCACCAGGACTTGGCCCGCTCTGGGCACAGGGAGGCTCAGGTGCCCCTCCTCCCTGGGAAGGGGGCGGGGCGGCCTGGGCAGGGAGCAGCAGAGGACCATGCCAGAACACAGGTGGACAGGGGATGGCGACCCTCAACCTAAAACCTCACTCCAGTGAGTCCCCCAGCCCTCCAGCCCCAAGGCCACCAAGCCCAGAACTTACACATCTGTCTCGTCCCACAGGATACAGGTCTGGTTGGTGGTGCCCTGGGAGAGAAGAGGGGAGTCAGGGCCACTGCCTGATCCACCCGAGCGTGTGCTGGGCATCCTGCCGTGAGGTTACCCAACAGACTGCGTTTCACAGGGAAGAAGCTGAGACCCAGAGCAGAGATGGGACTGGCCCAAGGTCACTGTGTCTGGCCTGGCCCCACCTACCCACCCAGTGTGGCTTTGGACAGCTGGCTCCCGAGCCCAGGTCAGGTGCTCAGTCCTCACCCAGCCCTTTCTGCTGATCATTTGATACGGGAACGAAGGCAGAGAGGGGCTGAGCAGACCCCAGTGTCACACAGCTGGAAAGGACAGGGCTGAGCGCTCCCATGGCTTCCCACAGTCCCTGCCTGGGGCTTGTGGCTGACACTGCCCTATCCTGTACGGGTGACTTGGGTGACCTGACCCCAGGGTCCTGGCCCTCAGCCCATCCAGAACAGGCCACGGGGCAGCAGGATCTCTGATCCTACGCCCCTGGGGCCTGGGTCTCCCTGGAGTCACAGCTGCTCTTCTGGGGCCAGGCCCCCCACGGCTCCACCAGGGAGGCAGGGCCTGCCTGTCACACAGCAAGCCGCTGGAACCCAGTGCCAACCCAGGCGCCCAGGGAGGAGGTTCTCGGCCCGGGAACTGCAGAGGCCCTCCTGCAGGGCAAGGCCTGCCGTCTGCCCCGAGGCTCCCGCACAGGAGGCTCCCGCGCAGGCACCCCTCATTCTTCCCAGCTCAAGGGCACCCTCAACATGGAGGGGAGTGGGCTTTCCAGGGGAGTCAGGAACCAGGGAAGGGGGGGCTAGGCCCCACCACAGCCCCCAGCTGTGGCTGACACCTCAGAGCAGCTTCCGGGAGAAGCGAGAGTTCGATTTCAGCACCCCCGTCAAGCTGTGGTGCCACCCGGGGCAAGTCACCACACCTCGGGGCCACAGTGTCCCCAGCTGCACTGGGTAATGGCAGCTCACTCTCAGGTCAAGACCCAAGAAACGTGAGCACAGACGTGCAGGGCGTCAGTGGCACGCGGGGGGGGGGCACTCACGTTGTACATGTGGGCAAACTCGATCTCCAAGGGTGTGAGCAGGGAGCGGGGCGGGGGCTTCACGGTCACCGAGATGACCTTGGAGTTCAGGACTGTGGTGTTCCTGGTGGGAAGAGGCAGAGTCAGGGGCTGGTCTGTAGCCCGGCCTCCCCAGGAGCTGGCCCCGCCACCCCTGCTCTGGGCCTCTGCCCTCCTGGCCCCTCGAGGCCAGCCCACCCACCCAAGGCTCCCTCACGCCTCCGGTGGAGGGCTCGTCCACCCCACCTGCCCACCTCTGCAGGGCCAGGAAGCTGCCCAGGTTCCGGTACAGCACGGTGCCCACCACGAACACGGAGGTGTCGTCGGCCTCTGGAAGGAAGCACACGGTCACCCACCCATGCTGCCTGCTGCCCTGGGCCCACTGCCCTGCCCATCTGCAGGCCCTGCCGAGGGAGGCCCTTCCACCCAGAACAGCGCTGGCTGGGACCTGGGGCAACTGCCTGGGTCCCCTGTGGCAGAGGGAGAGCTGCGCCCTCCTGGAGTGCCACCGAGGGCTGCGGGGCAGGCAGGGCTCGCTTCTCCCCCGGGAATGGGGACCCTTGTCCCCACAAGTCCAGCCAGTCCCCCCCGCAGAGAGCTGGTCCACTGGTCACTTAGCTCAGCCCACCGGGGTTCCGGTGACCCCCAGGCACTGTCCCCGTGTAGGGGGATGGACTCCAGAGCACCAGGAAGTCCCAGGGAAGCAGCCCTGCCCCTCGGGGCAGGGAGCTGGGCCCCAGAGGGACTGCTCAGGTGACAGGTCCTCCAACTCTGGGGCCTGAGTTCCCTAGCAGCCCCTGCCCTGGGGGCCCTCACCTGCCAGCCCTGTGGAGAAGACGCTCTTGGACACAGTCACCCTGTCCTCCGGCACCTTGGCCCAGTCTCCCGTGGCCCGCCAGCCCTTCATGGGGAAGCTGATGTCTGAGGCACTGCTGGCCGGAAGCTTGTGGATGCTGAGGACTGGGGCAGGGCAAGGGGACAGGACAGACAGAAGGTCACATGGCCAGGAGCCTCAGCCTGGGGAGCAGGACAATGGCACAGAGATGCCCAGGGCTCTGGGGGCATGGGTCATCGTCCAGCTGCCACCTCCCAGTCCCTGCTCAGCCCTGGGCACAGGAGTTGCAGATTCCAGCCCCACACACGCTGGCCGCACACGGCTCCGCACTCTCTGGCGGGAAAGCCCCCATGGGGTCACAGATGGGGAGCAGAAGGGACAGCAGGTATGGCCAGAGCCCCAAAGAGTAAGAACCAAGAGGGGACCTTGCCCAGACTCTGTCCCCATGGAGGATCCACAGGGAGCCAGGTGCCACTCGCCCCTGCCTCCCTCCTGGGATGTGGCCCATAGCCCCGAGCCTGTGACCTGCCCTCCTGCCCTGAGTCCACTGTGCAGGTGGACACTCCCTCTCAGGACACTGAGGAAGGCTGCCAGTCAACCCAGGCCTCAAGAACACAGCCCTGGGGTGCGGGCTCCCACCCGTCACAACTGCGTCCCTTTCATTCCCACGCCCCACCCCAGGCAGCCACTGACTGCGCCCTGGTGTCCCTGGGCCTGGGCAGTCACACAGATGTGGAGTTCAGGGAGCCCTAGAACCTCTGGGGCCATCCTAGGGCTCTGGGGCCCCCAAGGCTGCCCCTGCCCTGCCCAGTCCAACCCAGGCCCACCGGGTGCCACTGCTTGGTGGCAGGGAGTGGGCCCTGTCTGCACACCCTGGCTTCACCTCACTGGCTTGGCCTTGCCCTCCTTGGACTTCTGAGGTCACCCTGGGGACAGGACAGCCCACCCCCCGATCCAGAAGGACGCTGCAAGCGAATGATGTCACTCATGAGGCCCCTCCAAGAGCATCTGCCCCATGCGGGGCACTGGTGTGCAGCCTGAGGGGCAGCAGTGGACAGACAGACCCCTCCTGGGTCAACAGCAGTGGACACGACAGGGCCTGCCGGGCAGTGGGGGAGTCCTCCCGTTGGTGGCTGAGGAGGGGCACATCCCTTGGGCTGGAGCCCATGGGTAAGGGCAGAGGGCAGGGCAGTGGGGCCAGGAGGCAGGGTCCAGTCCTGCTGAGGCAGGGAGGAAAAGGGCAAGGGTGCTCAGGGACCCCTTCAAAGATGGTGCTGTCCAGCCGTGAGCAGCAGGGGAGGCATGCAGGCCAGGGGAGGGGCAGCGTCAAGGATCTGGCCTGGCCGGGGAGCGGGAGCAGGAGACCCCGCTTGGTGGACACCCGGGCAGCAGGGCCCTGAGCTGGAGCCAGGGAGGGCCAGGCTGCAGGGGGATGCTGGACCCTTTACCTGGACCTGCGGACCCTGTGTGGTTTTAAGGCCTTGAGGAGGTGAGTCACAGGCACGAGAGAGCGTGGGGCAGGAAGGCCCGGAGCCTGGACCCCACCTGTTGTGGTGGGACAGGGACCAGCCAGGGAGGAGTGGACAGTCCAGAGTGGGAGGTGGAAGGGCTGGTTTGATGTCCAGTGGAGAAGCGGGAGAGGAAATGGGGAGGGGAGGTGGCCAGGAGTCAGAAGCCAGGAGCTGCCCAGAACACAGTAGGCACCGAGCTGACCAAAGGGTCTTTTTGTTTGTTTTGGTACCAGGGGTTGAACCCAGGGTGCTTAACCACGGAGCCACACCCCAGCCCTTGTTGTTTTCATTTTGAGACGGGGCCTTGCTGAGATGCTCAGGGCCTCACTAAGTTGCTGAGGCTGGCTTTGAGCTTGCAATCCTCCTGCCTCAGCCCCCCGAGCCAATGGGATTGTATCTATGTGCCTCCATGCCTTGCTGACCACAGGGTTCTATGGTGGACATCACCCATGACCCTGATGGAGAGCAGAGGACACACACCTGGCTGGGTGGGCTCCTGGTAGGTAGGGAGTGGAGAAGGTGAAGGAGGCTGGGGTGGGAGGGCCAAGGCAGAACGTCCTCTGTCAGGGCTCCGGTTCTCATGGGCATGCCTGGGTGGGGCCCGGGAGAAGGCACACCATGGGGGGTACGGGGGCAGCACGTGGAGGACAAAGGTCAGGGTGGCCGGCAGGTAGGACCTCATGAGAGAAAGCCCTGTGGGCCAGATGGGCCAGCGGTTCTGTGGGCACGGGACTGACCAGGCTGGGAGCCAGGGCCAGTGACGGGGACAGGCAGCTGCAGTGAGCCAGAGGGAAGATGCAGGACTGCCCACAGGAACCGGGGCTGACCGGACCAGGGCATGCCCCCGGGTTAGCGTATGGGGGGCACATGGGTGAAGCTGGGTCCCCAAAGGTCCACAGGGTACAAGGAGTTCAGCTACCCCGGGCTGTCCCTGGGTCCTGGGGTCCGAGCACCTGGATTCCAAGCTGGGAGCAGGTGGAGAGAATGGTCTGGAAGGAGCCTTGAGCAGGGAGGAGGGCCTGGCCCGCCCCTCCCAGAGTCCCCGGGCTTTGGGAGGAAGCCAGCCCCTGGCCCTGGAGGGACCAGCTGGGTGGTGCTGGGCCACGGGGGGTCCCAAATGCTCAGGAGATGGGAAGAGGGACAGAAAGGGGTGGGGTGTATGGGGTCTCAGGACGCATGGGAGGTCCAGGTAATAGTGACTGAGAGGAGGCCAGGGCCTCTGTGGTGACCAAGGCCTGGCTCTGAATGGCGTCGGCCCGGGGCAGACTGCCAGAGGCAGGTCAGTGACCCTCCAGGGCCTGGGCCATGGGGGGGCCCTGGAGCCAGCACCTCTGTGAAGAGCTGGGCCAGGAGGGGGGAGAGCTCCCTTCCACACCCGTCTCTGGTGGCCACACAAAAGCCCTGGGCCACCTGTCACTCAGGAAGACACCTCGTGGGAAGCGAGACACCTCGGGATGGTGACGCAGGCTGGGGCCACAGACCGCATTTGACAGGTGGCCTCCCAGGCGCCTGGGCCTCCCCGAGATGACTGAGCTCTGAGGTCCTGAGCTCCACGCAGAGAGCGGACCAGCATTTGCACCTCCAGCTTAGGAGACGTGGCACCCGCCTGGCCAGGGCAGCTCTGGGGCTGCAGCCAGGACAGCAGCAGGGCTGGAGGACCCGTGGGCCTAGCTCAGCCTCGTCACGCCACTGCAGGTGGGACCCCAGGGAGGGGACACCTCCTCCTGGGTGCTTCTAGATCACAGCTGGGCCAGTGCTCCCTCCTGGGCCCCGTGGAGGCTCCCTAACCAGGCCTGGGCAGGCTTGGGACCATGGCCCGAGACAGGAAGTCAGGGACTGACTAGAGTGATCTGCGTGTCTGCGAGACAGCGGCTGCTCATCTCCAGGGCGCCCCGCTGGTCTCCGTGGCTCTCCACCTCCTGTCCAGACAGACCCCAGCATCATGCCATGTTTAAAAAGGAAACCGAGGCTCAGCCTTCACCATGGAGCCAGGGAAGTTCAGGCCCCTGACGAGGTGCTCTTGGGGCTGCAGGGCAGAGTGGGGCTGGGGCAGGGGGAGCCGGCCCGGGACCCAGGGCTTCAGGCCAGAGGCTGGCTGTGTGGTCCTGGTGGGACCTGGAACCTCCTAGGGTGCCCATCATCAATCCGATGGTCCCAGAGCTCGGAGACAAAAGCCAGCCCAGAACCGGTTCCCGTCCTGGCCAGGAGGGTGGCAGGGGCTGCCTGGCCACTGCTTCTCTATGTAGGTGGGAGACTGAGGCGGAGGGCCAGCAGGGGGCTGCAGGGCAGGACACAGAGGGCTGGCCGAGTGAGGGCGGCTTACCCAGGTTGTCTGTCACCTGGTACGCATCCCTCAAGTCCTTCATGCGGAAGCCGATGACATCCACAAAGTCCTCCACCAACCGGAAGAGCTCCTTGGCGTTGGGGCCCATCTGGGGAAGGCAGCCAGAGCTAGGGGAGGCACGCGCTCCGGGGGTGACGGCCCCTCCCTCGGCCAACCCCTCCCCTTGCTGTTCCTTCTTCTTCTGGGTCCTGCCGGTCATTTGCCAGCACCGTCAGGAAGCAGGGCCAGTGACCTCTGGCATCCACCCCCACTTGTAGGCAGGATGGCTGGGACCCAGAGGGACTGCTGGACTTCAAGGGGTCCGAGGCTAGGGGCACGTCTCTGGGCCCAGACTAGGTACTGCCCTGGGGACAGGTGCAGAGGCAGACTCAAGGTCGGCCTGTGAGGACGGAAGGCTAGGTGCTCTTGCCCTGTGAGGAAGACCTGCCACCTCCAGGTCCTCTGGCCACACACGGTGAGGTCACCTGGTTCCCGCCTGCCACCAAGCCCACAGGACAAGCTGCTGTCCTTCCCATGAAGAAACTGGCTTCTTCCCCAAGCCATGCACCCACAGGAGGCCCCACCCAGGGCTGGTCTGGGGCCCAGGCGCACAGACTGCCCACACCCTCCATACCAGCTGGGCCTCCTCCCACTTGTCCCGGTTCTCCTCTGCCAGCAGGTTACTGATGATCTGCACAAAATTCTGGAAATACGAAGGGCCAGTGAGAGAGAAGAAGGCACTGGTGTGTGACCAGGACCTGGCCCAAGCTGCCGTCAGGACCAGGGCGCGGCTGGCACCAGGCCTGAGGCTCAATCACAGGTTGGGGTCACAGTCCCAACCGGGGCCAAGGCTGCGGCTCAGCCTCTAACTGAGGTCCAGGATGGCTCTCCAGCCACTGTCCCAGGCACCCGGCCCCTGGGTGTCCCCTGAGAGCCCACCTGCACATCCCCAGGGGTGGGGCTGTAGTAGGCCCTCCGGAAGATCTCGGTCATGTTCCTTAGGACATCGATGGTGGACAGCAGGTCCCCACTGTAGCTGGTCCCATCCTGGGAGATCTCCACCAGGGTCTGGATGACCTCTGAGACCCCCTCCCCGGGCAGCCCGCGTTGAGCCTTAGCCAGGTGCTCCCGGGTCTGGGGAGGATGGAGAGGGCCACTGCTGTCATGTCTAGGCAGGTGCCAGGGGCCTCCCATGCCTGGAGGCCCCTGTCACCCCTGCCTCGTGTCCAGAGGGTGGGTGTGTCAAGGGGACAGGCAGAGGAAGCCCTGGGCCAGGGCGGCACTCACCATCATCTGGATGTTGCGATAGTCAATGGAGACGCAGCGGATGTAGGTGGGGGGCTCCCAGTAGGCGATGCCCTCCTCGTCCAGCTCACAGCGCCGCAGGATGAGGCCTGGGGAGACCTTCCCCTTCTCAGGTGGACGTGCACTGCCCAGCACAGGGGTCCCACGCACAGCTCCCGCAGGAGTGGCTCTGCGCCTAACTCTCCACCCCGATATGCAAGGCAGGGCCAGCCCTGTTCCCTTCATGCCACAAACTCTGAGCTGCCACTGAGCACCGCCAGGGGTGCCAGGGACCCGCAGGCACCAATCCTTCCTGGGCCCACTGCAGGGAGCCAGGGCCTCTCCCAGGCTCCTCCCAGTCCAGAGCCCTGGGGAGCACCGGCACCTGGCCCCTGTCTTTCCTCCACAGGGTGCAGGGCCTCGCTGGCCCAGGACATGGGGCAGCTTCGGGGGCTATCTGGCATTACATCAATGGCCTGGGGCAGAGGTCACTGATGGCAGTACCCCAGGAGGTCCTCAGAGGAACAGGGAGAGCTGACGCACACAAGGAGGTTACAGCCATGTGGGACCATCCTGTCATCCAGCAGGACCACAGGGTGGCCTGAGGCAGCTCCCTGGCCACTGATGTAGATGGGGACCAAAGCCACAGGCCCTAGGGTGCAGTCACACGCGCGGACAGGCTGAGCAAGGCACCGAGGGGCACTGTGTCCTTCCTCTCACTCCTGAGAATCTGCAGTACGCAGCAACAACCGGAGGGGAGGGGACAGCAGGCGTGGCCAGCAACCCCTGGCACCCACTGCCCTCCTGGTCCCTAGGACCCCAACTTCCCTGTGGAGGACCTCCTAAGGCCTCCGTCACAGGTGAGGAGACAGATGCCATTCAGGGAAGAGGGCAGAGGTGAGGCCCCACCTGAGCCCTGGTTTCCCTGCCTGCTGCCCTCGGCACAGAGACCGCAGGAGAGGCGGCCAATACCAGGGTGCAGCCGAGCCCCTTCCCCACGGAGCCCACCTGCTTTCTGCACCCTCTCACAGCCCCAGCGGCTCCTCGGGGCCCGCGGGGTGATCGATGCTGGCACTCCCAGGAGCCTTGCTCCTCCCTGCCCTGCAAGCCCAGGTGAGGGTGCTGACTTCACGTGCCTCAGTCTGCCACCTGTAAACGGGCTGTGGTGGTGACCACATGGGGGTGTGGAATCACAAAGGGACTCTCACATTAAGTGCATGGCATGGGTGCTGCCCTGAAAGTGTCCCCACACCGTGGTCCCAAACTCCTGGCCTGTGCTACTGGACATCAGCGTGCACCCGGGGCTGCCTGGGCTCTGGGCCTTAGAGTGGAGCCTGGAGGCAACTCTATGGGGGTGTCACAGGAGCCCCCATACCCCTTACCTGTGGCATTGCGTGGACACCGGACTGCAGCCACCTCCCCTGCTGGTGTTTCCTTCCAGACCACAGCTCCAAAGTTGTCCTCGTCACAGATCTCATGTGGCTCTGCCAAGGGGGCCAGAGATAGTGAGGGGCTGGGGACCAGGAAGGGATTGGGAGCTGGCACCCACTGTTCCAACTAGGTCAGCTGCCCAGACCCCCCAAGCCTCTCCCCAAAGCCCAAACACGGTGTGGGAGGGGTCTCACCAGGACATCGCTGGGTGCCACACTGCCGGTACTCATCCTGGGGGCCCTGGCAGGCTGCTCCCCCAAAGAAGGGCCCAGAGCAGACACGTTCCCGCCGCTGACTGCCACCACCACATGTGACACTGCAGCTGCCCCAAGAGGCCCAGGCCTGCCACTTGCCGTCCACTGCAAGGGTGGCCAGACAGAGGCACAGACAGTGGGGATAGGAGGGTCAGGGTCAGGGAACAACAAAGCACAGGGGCACAAACGGGGCCACCAGGACACAGGGATGAGAACCCAAGGAGCAGGAGCCACCAGGAGAAAGGAAACCAAGACCAGGGTCCAAGAGACCGGAGACCAGCAAGACGCTGACCCCAGAGCTCCCGCACCACGGGGCACGTGTCCGGCCCACTGACTGAGCACCAACCCCACGGCCACATGCAGGACCACAGCCACCCAGGGGGCCTGGCCTCCCCCGAGGCCTGCCTGCAGGCCGGGGCCCTGACCTGGACACTGCTGCAGGAAGCAGTCCCGCGTCTCTACCCAGTGGCCCTGGCACTCAGCGCCCCCGTAGGAGGGCCCGTTGCACTCGCGTGTGCGCTGCTGCCGGCCCTGGGAGCAGCTGGCCGAGCAGGTGCTCCAGCTGGACCACTCATTCCAGTTTCCGTCCACTGCCCGGCCCAGGGGAGGAAGAAGACAGGAAGCCAGCGTGAACACCCAGCACCCCAGAGCTCCACTGGCACCCCAACCCCACCTGAGCAGCGTGAGGGTCCAGCCTCTGGTCCCACTGAGCCAGGTCTGGGCTCCTGGGATGGGGACGTACGCCCCTCCGGCCCGCCCCGGGCCCTCCCTCTCACCTACCAGGGCACAGGGCGATGTTGCAGAACTTGGTCTGCTTCTCGGGACCCTCGCAAGGGTTGCCTCCAAACTGGGGGGGCCTGCAGGTGCGCGTGCGGTCCCGGAAGCCGCGGCCGCAGGTGCTGGAGCAAAGGCTCCAGGGTGACCACTCGTCCCAGGCTCCATGCACTGTTGAGGGACAGAAAGGCGCTGCTGCCCTCTGAGTCGGCGGCACCTGCCCTGCTGCCCACTCGCGCCCCACGGCCGCGCCCACCTGGACACACGGCCGAGTTGTTGCACAGCCGCTGCTCCCGCAGGGGCCCGCTGCACTGTGTGCTGTAGGAGGAGGACACGCAGAAGCGGGTGCGGGTCTGCCAGCCCTCGCCACAGGTGCTGGAGCACACGCTCCACGGGGACCACTCCTCCGCCGCCGGGTCACCTGCGGGCCACACCTGCCACATCACAGGACTGCCCAGCCAGCACTGCCCTGTGCCAGACCTGGAGGGCTGCCCAGGAGGAGCTGGGCCAGCTTTCCCACAAGGCCTGGAGCCTGAGGGCTGGCCTGGGCCACCCTCAGGTCCCCAGAGCAATTATCGGAACCTCCCCCACTAGATGGCGGCATTTTGTGGCACAGCAGCCCTGCCCTCTCCAGCTCACCAGTCTGTGGGTACGGGAACCCAAAATGCTGCAGCTCGTCCCCCAGCTCCTCCCGCCGCCGGGCATCCGTGGACCGCAGGGACTGGCTCCGGGAGCTGGTACGCCCAGCAGCTGCGAGGTAGACTCAGGTCAGCACCCCTGCTGGGGTGCCCTGTGTCCTTGGTCACAGTGGGCTTCTTGCCAGGACCACAGCTGCCTGGCCCCGCTGGGCAGCTGGGAAACCAGGTTCAGAACACTGGCCTGGTGCCGGCCCTCCTCTGGTCACTACAGACTCACAGGACGTGGTGCTGAGGGTCCTGTACGGCCTGTATCCCCTGCCTCGCAGCCCCTCTCTCTAAGCCTGGGGTCACCTGCAGGATGGCTCCTCTGAGCTGCTGCCACTCCCTCCTGCTCAACAGGCCATCTGCTGCCCCCACCCCTGCCCAATGCTCAGGGGCCTCCCAGGCTCCTGAGATGAGCTTGGGTCCCCAGGAGAGTTCATCAAGGGAAAAACAACCCGAGAATGACAGTCTCATTAGAACTTGATTTAACTTTATGAGGGCAGCTAAAAAATGCATGAGGTCATTAGAGAGCCCTAAGAGAAATGCATCCCGGCTGCTCTGGCTGGGACGGGCTGGCCTGGCCGAGCTCGCTCTGGGGGAGGGAAGCTGAGAAGGAAGCTCCATGCAGCCCCACCTAGCTCTCGGGGCCACCCCGGCTCTGGGCTCCCACCTGCACTCAGCCTGGCCTGGCCCTCTCTCTGGGCGAGGATCCGCCCCATCAATCCACAAACCCGTGGGATCCCCCCAGCGCGGCCCCTCCTCTTCCCATCCTGGGGCCCTCACCCTCGGGCCAGTTGGCCTCTTCCAGGTCCAACCCACCTCGCAGCCCCCGCCCACCCCGCCGCCCACGCACTCACGGCCACAGGCCTTGCGGTTGCACAGACGACCCTCCTCCAGAACCCCCTCGCAGCCGCCGCCCTCGATGCCTGGCGCTGGCAGGCAGGTGCGCGTCCGCGTTTGCAGGCCTCCTCCGCAGTCCCTAGTGCACTCGCCCCACAGGGACCACAGCTTCCAACCGCCTGGGGAACCAGGGGGCGGGGTCAGAGCCAGGAGGACTGGGGATAGGCCGCTGGAGTTGGGAGTGGGCAGCACCCAGGGGAAAGCACCAGCTGCGGCTGGCTGGGAGTGGCAGAAGTGCCCCGTGGGGCCTTAGGGGACCTGGTGCCACCCAGCTCCTGGGCACCTTCTGGAGAGCTCAGGTCAGTCCTGATACCTGGTACTTGGCACAGCCCAGGCGGGTTGGCCGGAGGGTAGTGGTCTCCCACGCACCCCAAGGCTGTCTTAGACACAAGGACCCTGAGAGGCCCAGGGCAGAGAGCTTGCTAAGGCTTGCCTTCCTGCACACCTGGACACCCTCCCAGGCCCTTCATCAATTTCTGGCTCAGGTGCTGCTCCTCGGAGCTTTTGCCTCCTCTGCACAGAGGAGGGCTAGACTTGGCCATTGCCCAAGCCCCACCCAACCCCACGCCCGCCAAGGCCCCACACCAGGGCCCAGCCTGGCAGACCCAAAGACCTATTTAGGACCCAGCAGAACTGACCCCCTGCTGAGCTCTGGACACAGGCCTCCAGGCCCCTGGCCCTGCTGACTCCAGCCACCCACTTCAGCCTCTCCTAGGTCTTCCTCCACCCTGGCCCTGGTAGTCCACTGCCTTCACCAGAATGTGTTCCCCCAACAACCAGGCCTACTGCCCCTGGGGACCTCAGCCCCTTGGTGGTCCAGGGCTTCTGAGAACACTGAGGGCTGCTTGAAGGGCCAGTGCCGGCAAGCACCAGGAGCAAGGGGCATGAGAGGGCAGCCTCATCGGAGGGCCGAGCATGCAGGCGGCACTGGTGGGCCACGGGAGGCCTCCTGCAGGGGACCTCCCACTACACAGCTGGGCCTCTGCCATCCCCTGGTCCTCTGTGGATGTCCGGGCCATACACTCCAGAGCAGTAGGGTTAGATGGACTTCAAAAGAGCAGTTGACCCTTCACAGGCTGGGCTCAAGCCCAGAGGACAGGGTACCTCTACTGAAGACACCCTGACCTATACCTGTTGAGGAGGAGGAGAGGAGGTTGGTGTTGGAGCCCAGAGACTGCCCCACACTGCCCCCTGGGGGCACTGAGCCAGACAGCTTGCTCAAGAGAGCACAAGAGGCCCCTCCAGGGACCAAGAACCAGCTGGCCAAGGGCAGAGGACTCTTGGCAGTAGGGAGGGCCTCTGGTGCCTAAGCCTTACCTGTGGCCTAGAGGAGGGAACCTCACCTTGAGGTGTGAGAATAGGGACACGCAGGATGTCCCAAAAGGTGAGCAGCCCCACCACCCAAATGGTCCCTGGGTCATCTCCTGGCCTCATACCGATCACTGCCCAGGATGACAGCCGGCTTCCCAGGATTGACCAGCAGGAGGCTCAACATCAGGAAAGCACTTGGAAATGTCCGAGTGTAAGCACGGCCTTCTGGTCAGAGCTGACCCTGGGCCCTGGTCTGGTTGCGCACCCTGCAATGCCTATCTTCTCTGCACCCATGCTTGGGCTGGGCCAGCAGGGGGCACCAGCATGGATGGTGGGAACAAGGCAAGGAATCACGGTCACGGATGGGAGGCTTGCTCTCCTGCTGGGACGCAGGGTGGAGAGGGGCGTCTTCTACCCCCGGCTTGAAGTGGAAGCTGCTCTCCCCTCAGGGAGCCCACAGCCCCGTGGTCTCCAGAGAAGCAGAGCACTAGAGCTGGAGCCCAGGGGGACCAGTCCTCCTGTCCAGTGCACCAGGCCGTGTCTGCCTGGCAGGACACAGCCAGTGCGCAGGGAAGTGGGGCGGTGCTTCTGAGCCTCTTCTCAGTCTGGGTGGAGTGTCCCTTCTGGAGGGGGGCTGCCCTGCTCCCATTTCTCAGACAACACAGGGGCCACAAGTGAAGGGGTGCCTGTACCTCTCCCCCCAGCTAGGAAGAGGCCACTCAGGGACTGTGCCAAACTGCTGGGCTCAGGCCCCACATCCCTGGGATGGGTTGCTTCCCCTCCCATGGGTGGCCCTCCTGGGTGCCCAGTCCCTGGCGGGCAAGCCCAGTGCCAGCACAGAGCCTGCACTCTAGCCCCACCAGGCATGCTTCACCCTGTCTGTAGCAGAGGAAACTGGGGCTGGGAGCAGCAGCCTCCCACTGGGTGAGGCCAGTCTGCTCCAGCTGGTACCGACTGGGACAGAGGGGCTGGGCACAGGCCTGGGTCCTGAGCAAGAGCTATCAGTGTCTGTGCACCCTGCACTGCCTACCTCATTTCATCCTCAGATAAGGTGGAAGGCCTCAGAAAGCAGGCAGGAGGGCACAGGAGGAGGCAAGCAAGATGTCCCCCGCCCAGGGCAGAGCCGAGGGCAAGGGGAGGCACAGTGGACAGGACAAGGCGGGAGCTGCCCAGGCTCAGGCCTTAACTCAGGGCAAGCGAAGGAACCAGGTTGAATTCAGATCTTCAACCAGATCAGGTTCCAAATCCCACCCCTCCCCACAAGGCCATTTGCCAGGACTGACCAGCCTCAGGAGTCTCACCTGCCATCCCATCCCATCCGTGATGCTAGACAGAGCAGAGGGCCGATTCACGGAGGCAGGCCTGGCGACCGGGTCCAGCTGGCACATGCAGCTTGTGCCCCTTTGCGCCCAGCCCAGCCCCCATGAGGAATCCTGAGTGGTGTGGAAACTGGCAGTGGGTGGGAGAGAGGGTGTCCAAGCCAGGCTAATCGGAGGATGCCACTCGGTTCCCATGGCAACTGCTGCGCCGCAGCCTTTCAGGATAGACCCAGGTTAGGCCTCAGCTGCCAGAACACCCACTATTTCAGGGCTGGTTACCTTGGTGACCCAGGTGGTGAGGATGTGGAGGGGGAGGGGAGAGGAGAGGTGGGGATCATAAAGAGAGGCTTGGGGACCCTGACACAGAGCATGGACCTCCCCCTGCCTACACTCAGTCCTGTCCCAGCTGGTCCTGACTCTGGTCACGCACGGAGCCTTGATCCTCATCATAGACTGACCTCTGACCTGAGCATAGGATCCCCGGTCCAACACCACACACTGAGCCCCGATCCCAGCCACCACTGATCCTAACCTTGGCCGTGTCTCTCCACTAAGGAGCACTTAGGAAGTGTAGCTGCCGCTTTACCGTCATCTCCTGCTAACGTGCGTCCTCACATGGCTAACGCTCCACAAAGGTTTGCCCCGCCAGGGTGGCCGCCAGAAAGGGAGTTACAGGGAAGGACTCCGGGGTCCCCTGCCGTGCAGCACACACACAGCACAAAGGCTGTCAGGTCCCGCGGGACGCAAGGGGGCAGCAGAGGAACAGGCAGGGCTGGGGGTGGGCTGCCCCTCGGCCCGGAAAGAAGCCGCTATTCTTCCCCCACTCAATGCCCCTCTGTCTGGAAGCCTCATTTCCATCTCATTATGGCGATGAATAGAGCCAATTATCGGCCGCCAGGCCGGCCGGCCACCCAGGGACGAGGGTGCACAGTGAGGGGGTTCGAGTGTCCTTCCCACCCTGGGGACCAGGCCTGAAGGCAGGGGCTCCCCAGATCCTGCAGCCGAAGTGGGCTGGGTCGGGGCTCCGCGGGAGCCCTTCCCCCAGCGCGGCCTCTCCAGTCTCCGGGATCCCCTTTGGAGGGGAGGGACACTGCACTCCCAGCCTCATCCAGCAGAGGGCGCTCGAGCCCCGCAGGTTGTGCAACCCCTGGGCTACTGCCCATTCTTGCCCCTGCGGGGCCGGCTGGGGTCTCCTGGCACTCACTGCAAGGTGCAAGAACGGTCCTCTGTCCAGGCTTCCTAGAGGGGCGCCCAGGCGCTGACCCCGGCCATAGGACCCCTCTGAATAAGCACAGGACCACAAGGACAGGAGGCTCCCTGATGCCCCTCCCCCACTTAGCCCCACTCCTGGCTCATCCAGTGGGCCTGAAATAGCCCACCTTCTGCTGGGCTGGCAGCTCCTCCTCCTGTGGAGCACCTGCTCAGTGAAGGCTCACACAGGTCCCACAAGCAAGTCCCCCCAATTCCCAGCCCACAGAGGGGAACGGGCTCCTGAGCTCCAGTGGCCCACTCCTGCAGGGCTGGGCTTTCTGGCTTCTTTCTCGGGGTCTGGCAGGTGCTCCCAGGTGCTCCTGGTCCTGAGAACAGTGCCCTGATCACTAGTCTGAAAACTCAGTCCCTCCTGGACAGTCCTGCTGCTTGTCCTGCTCGTCCCAGGCTCTGGCTGTCCCGTAGCCAACCTGACACCCCTTCTCCTGCCTTTCTGGGAAGTGGCACTAAATTTAGGCCATGATCCTCGGCCTGCCTCCAGCCTCGCGGTCAGGGCTGGCCTCTGGGCTGAGGCAGGCCAGCACTAAGGGCTGGCAGCTCCCTGTGGACTCTCTGCATGGGCCCACCCTGCTCTTTCCACCTGATGGGCACTGAAGCCTTGTTTTCTAGACTTTTCTAAATTGACAGCCAAGATGAGGAGCCCAACATCCCTGAGAGTGAAGATCCTGGTGCTTTTCCCAGCCCCACCATCTTCCCAGCACCCACCAAACTCCACCTCAACCCCAGCTCCCCCCCAGACCTCCTCCCACAGGTCAGGCCAGCTCCCGCCTGCCCTCATGCTGCCCCTCTGGCCTGCAGACCTCAGCGGAGCTCCTGGGAGTGGGACTGTATGGGGGGTCACTAGCCAGGCAGTGCACTGATGACTGGCCCTGGGCAGGGCCAGAGGGAGGGTCAGCTCCAGCCCTGCAGGCCATCGGGTCCCTCGCAGGCCTAGCAGAGCACGCATGCGCATGTATATCCACATGTCCACACCCCCAGACACCCAGGTCAGCTGAGCCTCCCACCCCTGCCCTGGCCTGTGTGTACACACACACAGGGACACACACATGGGGACGTCCATACGCACGGGGACACACACACTCGCTCCCACCCCCAGGAGGCTGCTTCTTCATTATCCTACACGTCGCTTCTGCAATAAAATTCTTTAATTAAAAACATGAATATTTAAAACAGCCCTGGAGAGAAATGCCCATCTCACCAGAGGCAGAGGGCTGCTGAGAGGTGGAGGGGAAGATGGAGTGACAGGGAGACAGAGCTGGGGGTGGCACCGGGACCCAGGGTGGGTGCAGGGCCTGGCAGCCATGGAGGGGGCCGGGCGTAGAGGGACAGTTGCTCTGGCCTGAGGCATGTTTGTGGAATCTGATGCGTGACGTGGCCATGTGGCATTGGGACGGGCCTGGTGGGGGCAGGGTTGAAAATGGGCCACGCTTGCCTGGGCTGCCTCCGCCTCGCCTGGCCAGGCACCTCGCTGAGGTGGGGCTGCCCGGTGGGTGCAGTGAGGCGGGGGTCCTGGGCCGGGGCTCGCCGAGGAGAGCTGGGCAGCTGCCGTGTGGGCTCAGCCCCTGTCTTCTGAAGTTACCTGACCTTTCTCCTTCTGCACACAGAGGGCACTCAGTGTAAGCCCAGGTGGCACCCAGGTGTCTCTGCAGCCTACCACTCACTAAGCTGTGTTACTCGGGTCACTGCGCTAACATCTCTGTTGCCCACACGCATTTGCTGAGCACTTGCTGCATGCACCTCGGGGAAGGGCCATGAGGGGCACAGGCCTCCTCTTAGCACACAGTCAGGGAGGTGCACGACCTGCCCATGGTGACCTGTGCCATGGAGGAGAGGCAGAGGGGCAGAGGGCCATGGAGGGACTGCCGCCATGACACAGAAGGTCAGGGGCCTCAGGAGAAGGAGTGAGGCTGCGGGCTCAGAGGGGAAAGCACTCAGCCCTGCGAGGTCCTGAGGCAGGGGGCAGCCTCAAGGGGGAGCCTGTCTCAGGGGGCCGCCACGAAGAGAAAGCAGTGGACACTTGGATGCTTCGGCCCAAGGTGAGCACCGGGCAACTGCTGCGCGGTCACCGCGGCTCATTTTCATTCTCATGGCCCAGGAAGCCACAGAGCCTCTCAGGTGCAGGGCATGGGCAGGGACTGTGTGCCACCTGCTTCACGCCACCAGAAAGACGGGCAGCCCCTGCACTCCACTCCACACTGCACAAAGAGCCGCACAGAGCCCTGCCGTGTGCACACGGGCTCACTCGCATGCATGAACACCAGGCACAGCAAAATGCATCGCACCCACACATGCAATGTGTGCACACACATGTCACATACACACAATGTGCAGTATGAACAGTCACTGCACCATGCACACACATGCTACCACATGTACACACATATGTGGGTGCACATGCCAGACGCATGTGCATGAATACACGCGCAATGCACTGTATGTATATAAACTCCATGCACTGCACACACACGTGCACTGCATGTATGCACACGTGTAACATGCATGTAGCACACTCACAAGGCCATTCATATGTGAACATGCATGTGTATAACACCCTATACATGCATGGATGCGTGCTTACATTTGTGAATGCACAGAGCCCACAAGCCTGTCCACTGCTGACCTGTGCACCCATCACATGCTGTATGCACACGTGTGCCACCTCACCAAACCAAAGCGTGTGCTCCCTGCTCCACCCCACCAGAGCCCATCCACACACTTCCAAACCGGCTCATGAACAGGATGTACCACACACATGTGCACACCGTGCACTCACACCTCCCTGCCTGCTCTGGGCACCACTGGCCAGCATCCTTTGTCCAAATCTGTGCACACACCCCAGCTGCCCACACTCCATCTCCAACACCCCTGCCTCCAGCCGGTCTCTGCCCCAGGCCCGCCAGGATCTCCGGCCTGGTAACACACAAGTAGGCCCATGCCTCCTCGTAACGCTGCTTCTGCTCAGAATCACCTCGCCCCACCTCTCATTCCCGTGGAAATCTAGGCAGAGAGGGCGGTGGGAATGGTTCAGATGTACATGGCAAGCCAGGGTCAGGCCAGGATTTGAACCCAGGGCCTGGGTTCAAAAGGTACAGCTCAAAAGCCCTACCCCCACCTGGCCCTGTCCTGTGCCCCAGCTCTGAGCACAATGTCCCCTCCCAAGATGTCTCACAGGTAATTCACCCTCTGTCCCACTCTGACCTCCAGATCTTCCTCCTCGCTGCGTCTCCCACCCCTGCTTCCCCACTCCAGCGGATGTCCTCACTCCTGACCAGAACCGTGGAAGCAGTCCAGTCTCTCCTGCCTCTGTGCCCACTTCATCCACAAGTCCCTCAGCTCCACTTGAAGGCCTTCCTCCTGCCCCTGCGACTGGGCCCTGACCAGGGCAGCATCAGCCACCTCCTGGATGCCTGCCTGCACCACTCCTGCCCTAGGCTCCCGCCAGGCGTCTCAGCCTCGGCTCCTGCCACGACAGCTGCCCATGGAAGGGCTCAGGAGTGGGCACTGGGGTTCCACAGCCACCAGCACCCTCCAGCAGACGCCTGCATCCACCGGGCCAGCCCAGAGAGGTCGCGGCTCCTGCCAGCCACCTCCACTGCTGAGTACCTCTGGCGATCCCTGTGTGGCCACTCCCCAACCATTCTACTAAAGACGGGCACTGCCCAGGGGGGGTGTCTGGACGGGACCCTGATGTCCGTCCACCCTGGTTGGCAGAACACCCTGCAGGGTACTCCACACAGCGGATGAAGGAAGAAGGCTCCTGCAGGGAGCTGGGTGACCACGAGTGGCAGGGCAGGACTCACGGCCAGATCTGCTGATGACCGCCAACCCCGTCCTCCTGTGTCCCCACCCAAGCCAGCCATCAGCCTCTGCGTCCCCGGAGAGCACTGCTCATTCTGCTCCATTCTTCCCGGTTCTGCTTGGCCCACTACCACGCCCACTGTGCCAGGGAAGCTAAGCTGCCCTTGCCAAGGTCACAGTGACCTCCAGCCTGCCCAAATGGAAACTGGTCCACTTCGCTTCCTGGGCCCCAGGAGCTGCCTCTGTCCTCCATGGCCCTGGAAGGGCCAGTGCAGCGCACCTCTCCCGGCCGTCCCCCAGCGGGCCGCGCCCTCTGCCTCAGGGAGGCTTCCTCCCTCTGGGACCCAGGGCCTGGAGCAGGCACGGAGCCGCAGCCCAGGACTAGCTTCCTGTGTAACCCACGACTCTTTTACGCCTATGGAGACATGGTCTGAGGAGTCCATGGGCCTCACTGGCCCTGGAGAGGCCCTTGATGTCCTTGAGGGCCCTTGACCCACAAAGGCCCCTAGACACTGAGCCCCCAGTGGAGCCTCACCCCTGAACACAGGTCAGCTCCCACGCAGCCTGCCAAGCTGCAGCCCCTGCCCCTGCCCAGCTCAGCCCAGCCTGGCCTCCAGCCCAGGTCCTGGGTGCACGGGGCCTCAGGACACAGGGCAGGCGTGTGCAGGACTGCCCTGTCACCTCACCTTGAGCAACCCTGGCTTCCAGCCCACGGTCGCTCCAGGAGGGCTCCCACCTCCCCAGGGGAAACCCAGGGGCCAACACCCCTCAGACCGCCTGGGACCCTCTGCAGCAGGACACGCCAAGCACCCTGCTGTCCCCTCTGCCTGGAATGCTGTCCCCTCACATCCCCCAGTCTGTGAACAGGGTTCACAGCCTAAGTGACCTCCCTGACCTCAAGAAGCTAGCAGCCCAGAGAGCCAGGGCGCGGGTGGCTGTGCGCCCGCCACGGCCGGAGGAGTGGCTGCTGGCTGCTGGCTCCTGGCCCCTCTCCATCCTGAAGGGGCAGCTCCCAAGGCAGCACTCCTGTGCTGTTCTTGCTGCTGGGTCCCCTACAGCAGGCCATGGGGCAGGGGCATGCCCCCTGCCCACTCCATCCACTGTTCCCTGCACCTGGCCCGGCCACCGGCCACAGCAGGCTCGGTCCCTTGAGGTGCCCTTGCTAAGAAAAGGAAAGGACCCTCTTGTGGGGAGTCTGATCTCCCCAGCTGGCAGGAAACTCAACCCTGAACGAGCCTTGGCCACTGGGAGCCCAGAGAGCCTGTGGTGAAGAGCTCAAGGAGGCTTCCTGCTGGGACCAAGGCACTGCTGGCCACACTGCCCTGGGGGCTGGGCCCGCTGTGCCCTCACCCTTCTGCCAGCAGAGCCGCCTCAGCCTCTCCCTCCGCCACTCACCTGGTGCGCCGTGCCCACCCCTGTCCTGGGTCAGGCTGGTGAGGCAGTTCTCGGGGCCACCCGCCACGCCGTCCCTTAAGCAGACGTCCCCATGGGGGACCAAGGGGCTGGAGGCAGGGTCGCTGGCCTCTCCGCCAAGGCAGGCACAGGGGGTCTGCATGATGCCACAGGGATGGGAGCTACGGCTGCCAGCCAGACAGGCGTCCAGCCAGCGGCACAGCATCTGGCAGGCGGCCCGGCTGGGGCTGCGGTTGCCCACCACCAGGTACTCCACGGAGAAGTCGTCCCTGGGGCCTGGGGGCCCGGGGCTGTGGTCCTGGGCCGGCTGCTGGAGCTGCATCTGCAGGAACTGCTTGCTGGCCTGCAGGAAGGCGAGCGGCGCCGAGGGGTCGCAGAGCCGCAGCACCTCGTCGAAGCTCTCCACACCCAGGTAGGTGCGCGTGGACTCCAGGAAGGAGTCGAACTGGTAGGTGCGGACGCGGCCAGGGCCTCCGCAGGGCGTGGGCGCCTTGGCCACCTTCATGTAGAGAGTGTAGCGCCGGGGGTCCGGGTTGCGCAGGGTCCAGGAGCAGCGAGAGGCGTTGGCTGGAAACACAGCGGCTGCCGAGAAGTAGCCGAAGAACTTGCCCTGCACCAACGTGGTGCACGGCTCGGCCCCGGGCCCTGCGTCCACCCCGGTGGCTCCCCGCGCCCGGCGCCCCAGCAACAGCAGCAGCAGCAG